TGTTTAAACAAATATAAACTGTGCATCAAAAACAGTGCACTACCTCCTGTGAAGCGAGTGCTTGAATAACCTTTAACGCCTTCTTTGCTCGTAGTCAAATCACATCCCAGATTTGTAAAAAGTTACAACTTTCGCGACATAGTTTTTACCGAACAAATCTCTCGTGCTCTTTCTTACAATTACTGCAATCATAATGGGCATTCGTATTGGCGTCACTACGAAAACATCGAATATAGTGCTGCAATTGACATACCATTGAATCAAAACTAGTGTTCCGAACAATGGCATTAACACCCGTGGTTATGTAATGTGCAATAGTATTAGGGTATTCTGCAAATTGGCCTCGACTTTCCCCCAGAGCTAGACGGCGATCATCTGTAGGCAGACCCAGAGGGTAGGACAGCATGCTTCAGTCCATCTTCACCATTCCACTCTGCACAGCAAAAAAGACCCCTTAAACAGACTGTTGGGACAAGTGCTGTTAGCGAGCACCTATGAACGGCAGGATGCGTGGATGTGGGTGGGTGGCCTGCATCACGCCCGACCGCCTTTGTCTCCCTAGTGGCGATAATTACACACGACACCAGTTACTGAATCGATATAGGGGAGGCCCAGGACCGGTTTAGGCAATCGTCACTGGTGTTGTCCGTGAGCGAGAATCGAACTCGGGTCACCAGGTTCGTCCCGCAGCATGCTAACCACTGCACTACCGCTCCTCACAACTCTCCAAACAAAGACAAAGATTCCCCGTGTAGCCTTAACAGACTTTTGGGGCAAGTACTGTTAACGAGCACCTATAGCGTCTCACACACACTGCCAGTGACGCTGCTTCTCATCGGGCAGAACCGTGGGAAAAGATTGGCCGCTTTTATGAGCATTTGTTGAAACTGTACCGGATATTCATACCTGCTTTTTATTTCTTCAAACAACAATCCTTGTTTTTGATGTGCTGTGTTGGGATTACATAGTACAGCAAAAACCCCGGTTAACGTCGGGGATACGTTCCTGAAATGTGCGACGACCAATAACAAAACGACGTGAATCAAAGCGATTCAGAGGGTAGGGGGGGAGGCGAAGGCTGAGAGGCGACGGATAACGAGAAAAGACGGACGATGCTGCCAGCGACGTGAGTGTGGGTCGAGATGATGCAAATCAGGTAGCGGCATTGAAGCGACGAGGTATTTGTGAAACGACGTAAACGGGGGGAAGACGTAAATCGGGGTATTTCTGTACTCATATCAAACCTACATAGGCCCACATGAAGGCATACAATACCTATTGAATGTACAAACCACATTTGCTCATGACAGGCAGCCATGCCAGAAACACTGCAGCTAAGAAGGTGTACTGAGAGCAATTCTGCAAATGCGTCTGTGCGAGTGTGTGTACCTGCTGCAGTGTGTAAACATTGCCACTGGGGAGAACAAGGCTATACGGGGGATCTTTGGCTTGTATTGGTTACCAATATTGCAAGCAACTAATGATGCGCGTATGCTTGTGTGAGTTTGTGTGCGGTAGAGCGCGGGGAGCGGTAGTGCGTTGTGCTACGAACCCGGTGACCCAAGTTCGATGCCCGCTCACGGCCAACACCGGTGACGATTATTTGAACCAGTCCTGGGTCTCCCCTGGGTCGACTCGGCCTCAAATGGCCTCAAATGAGTACCTGGTGCGGTGCGTAAAATCATCGCCACTTGAGAGACAAAGGCGGCCGGGTGCTGGCCACCCACCCCCTCGTCGGGTGGGTTGCCGGCCTTCATAGGTGCTCGCTAACAGCACTTGCCCCAACAATCTGGTTAGGGCTATGCGGGTTATCTTTGTCTTTGTGCGGTGGAGCAGTTGTTTTGCAGAATATGCTAACGATGTCTGATGTGGCCCGGCATCAATCCCCCACCAATGTTGTTCAGTGTCACATGGTGGCATCTAGCTGGGCCAGTAATGAGCTCTCCCATATAGGTCACCCCCCCCCCCCCGCTTTAAATAAATTACAACACCGATGGCTGTTGTGGGGGAAACAAAGGCGGCCAGACGTGATGGTGGTGGTTGTTTGGTGGTCATTCAACTAATTTCTAAGCATATTTATCCAATAGCTCGAGCAAAACTGCACGGATGATATTTGCCTCTCTGCTTGTGCGCAGTAACCGACTGTCTAAAATACAATAACATGTGTGTGCGCTCTACGTGTGTGTGCTGTCAAAATACGTCAAATCGATTCCCTACCGTAGCGGTTTGTGCTTGGGCCACGCACCTTTTGTGTCAACTGCGTTATCTGACATCAGCAAGGGCTGCTGCGTGCATGCAAGCGGGGATTTCAAATGCGGATGCTATGCATAATAAAAATACGTTGCAAAGGTGTTGTTTGCTAAAGTGTAGTGTGTGTGTGTGTTGTGATGATGCAAACATTGTGCGCACGTTATCACAAATGATACAAGCACGTGCATGATGTAAATGTTGCAAATGATGCGTTTCCCAACGAAATCTCCCCTGCTATGTAATTTAACAGAATGTTGCATTCGCGTGCGTGTGCATTAAACATCGGAATAAATGCGTGACTGCATCCACGCATTGCCCAGTTCAGCAAATACTGCGCAGCCTTATCTCGAGTGAGAAGTGCGATTTACGCGTTTAATAAACAAAGATGGTAGTGTGTGTGTGTGTGTTGCCCCTTTCAGCTCCATCATAACGGCTACCCAACACTGGCGTGGCTCGTTGCTGTTGAGTCGAGGAGAACACGAGGATGTTAGACATTGCCGTCTCAGTAGCGTGGGAACGCCACTCACACCAGAGGGCATGACAATGGGCTCAGTCCACAACCACCAACAGCACCACCACCATTGCCATCATAACCATTTCCATCTCTTGAACAACAGCACCAATGCCACCACCATCTTCACCGTTGATCTTTTCACAACACTGTCACATCTGCTCAGAGCCACCATCACCACCATCACCATATTAACCATCATTGTTACCATTATAAGAACCATCACGATCACATCATCATATATTCACGACCACATCATGGCAGACATCACAATCATTATATAATTGTAACTGTGCATAATCATTAACCACGACCATCATATCACCTAAACTTTCACCAGGACCATAATCATCTGATGACCAATAGCGTGGTATTCATCATCAGCAGCATGTGTCATTGTAAGCATCACTTCCACTCCCCATTAGGATTGTTACCACTCCATCACGCCACTGTCATCATATAATATAAATCACTACCATAACCATCACATCAAACCCAGGCAGCATAACATCAGAACCATTCACAATCACCATAAACATCATAACAATCACCATCACACCTTCTGAATCATCCCTACCATCATATCATTGCAAATACCATTACAAGCATCATTGTACTATTACGTTCTATTATATAATCACGGTCAGATCGTAACCACCACTATCAACTTAAATAATCAACATTATTATCATAACTACTATATCTCTATCACCATGGCTGTATAACCATTATCAGCATAAATCAATCAGCAATATTACCACTATCACCATTCTTACAATAACCACCACCACCGTCAGAGTTAAAATGACCGTGGGTAAAACGACACCACCACTCCCATTACCATCAGACCGAAAACCATCATCACGACCTCTTCATCATGATCATCAACCACTACTACCAACGTCACCAGAGCCCGAAACAACACCGCCACAACTATCACAATGTTGCTAATACTGTAATGACACACGGTGGTTGTCAGTGGGTGTACAAGAATTGCAACACAGCGAGGTTTGGACTAAAAGGGGGGGGGGGGGGAGACGCACCGACAAAACCATCAGCGCCCCCTAAATCTCTCTCAAGATACAAAGAACCCCCTTATAACCTTTAAACCGACTGATTAGGGAACGTTCTGTTAGGGAGCACCTATTAAGGCCCACGCCCGCCCACAGATGCCGCACCAGGTACTCATTTAAGGCCGAGCGGACCTAGGGGGGATGGGGATGCGTAGTAGACACACGGGGAAGCTAGGGGGGGAGCATCTACACAGAGCACCGCCAACACAGACCCAGGCTCACCACGCCCGGCCGCCTTTGTCTCCCCAGTGGCGATGTTCACTACGCACCCCTACACCAGGTGCACGCATTTGAGGTCGAGTAGACCTAGGGGAGGTGTCGACTGTGAGTCGGAATCGAACTCGGGGTCGACGAGTTTCGAAGTGCAACACGCCCGTGACCACATACACACACGTGTGTGGCAACATGCATGTAGGGGGCTCCCTGTCACCTGCACACACACACACGTGTGGCAACATGCATGTGCAGAGCTGTGTGTCACCTGCACACACAAACACACACACGTGTGGCAACATGCATGTGCAGAGCTGTGTGTCACCTGCACACACACACGTGTGTGGCAACATGCATGTACGGAGCTTCCCTATCACCTGCCCACACACACACGTGGCAACATGCATGTACAGTGCTCCCTGTCACCTGCACACACACACTCGTGTGGCAACATGTATGTAAAGGGCTCCCTGTCACCTGCACACACACGTGGCAACATGCATGTGCAGAGCTCCCTATCACCTGCACACACCTCGAGAGAGACAAAGACCCCCACCGCATGGAAGCCCGCCGCTTGCAAACATTGACGCCTCTCGCCGCCTGTGAGCGAGCACCCGTGGATGTGCACGGCTCGTTTGTGAAGAAGATTCAGCACCACCACCACCAGCACGACCAGCACCAGCACGACCGCCTTTGTCTCTCCCTGTGCAGCTGTGTTGCACACCGCGGCCAGCCCAGCGCAGCCACACGCGGTCAGCGAGGAGGCGAGAGCGACGGCCCCCGCTAGGGAGCGGAATCTGTCAAGACGAGGACATCGCTGCCACTTTGGCGCTGCCGTCCGATCTCTCTCGCACACGGAGACACGCACAGAGAGAGAGAGAGCGAGACGCCGAGACAGAGAGAGAGATGTGTGTACACACACACAGAGACAGAGAGAGGCGGCATTGGCGTACCTCCTCCTCCACGCGAGCCAGAGGAGGAAGGCGATGATCGCGTTCTCAGCGCTGCTCCGGTGGCCGATGCAGCAGCAGCAGCGGAATCAGTCGCCGCGTCTCTCGCTCCTCCCTCCCACGGCGCACAGCAGCGCCCTGTGCGGGGGATGGGGGCGAGGAGGAAGGGGAGAGAGAGACACGGAGGGAGGGAGGGGATGGGGAGAGAGAGAGAGGGGCTGGCTGGGGTGGTGCTGCTGTTGATGGGGGGAAGGGTAGAGACGTGGAGAGAGCGCGCAGAGAGAGAGGATGGGGGAAGGTTGGTGGTGATGGGGGAAGAGCCGAAGAGGGAGAGAGGAGTGGGTTGGAGGTGGTGGTGGTGATGATGGGAAGAGGGGAGGAGGAGAGCAGAGCGTGAAATCTTTCGTTTAAAAAAAGGGGGGGGGGGCACATAAAGCAAAGCATTTAAAAAAAACCTAAATGATGAACGAAGCAAAGTGCCGACTACACCGAGCATCTTCTTGTTTCCTCTGATCGTCAAAAAATAGAGATGGATTGTGGAGGTAATGTCGAGTCGAGGCTGTCTCTTCCCTACCCCTCTCTCTCTCTCTCTCCATGGTTTAAATGCCAACAATGCCACAGCTATTCCCCATTGAACGCGATGCCCGTGCAATCGAATTCCTCCTGGTTGCAGTGGCGTAGCGACGACATTATCAGCTCAGGGGGAGTGAGTTTGCGGCAATTGATCAGGTGGGGCCCCAATATTTGCTTTGTCTCGCACGGTGGCAGTCAAGGGGCCCCCCCAACTCGTGGCTTTGGCCACTAGGGGGATTGGGGCCAAGGCACCCATCCCCCACTGCCCCCACGCTCGCTACGCGACTGGGTGCAGATGATGCAAGATTCTGATCGTGGGCACCAAGACTCGTGCGTGGTCGCCATCAGCATCGCCATCATCATCAGCATCGCCATCATCAGCATCGCCATCAGCATCAGCATCGCCATCAGCATCATCAGCATCGCCATCAGCATCATCAGCATCGCCATCAGCATCATCGCCATCATCAACATCGCTATCAGCATCATCAGCATCGACATCATAATCATCAACATCGCATCGCCAGAATGCGCAGTCCGCACACGGCATTCGTACTGGACCATCTGTGACAAAAAGCTTCATAGCTCATCGGATTCCTCGAGTCTAAATCAAGATTATGATTCTAGTTGATATGGAACGCATCTGCCGTGGAGACGGAGTGATTTACATAATCTCGTGTGCAGGAGCTGGGTGGGCGATTATTATGTCGCATGATCTCGAGAAAGGGGAGGACTTCATCCAGCAGTAGATTGATAATGGTTGATGATTTATGTTATCTATACAGTATATGTGTATACTGTTTTGTGTATCTGTGGCAATCACTCCGGATGAGCCTGATCTCGGGAGATCTGGAAAGCTAATTTTGTTTACCAGGTATGGCCCACTTGAGCTGTATAGCTCTTTTTTGAGAAGCAACTGGCCACAAATGGAAGCTCAACAAAGTGGCTTTTCACGTGAAATTTGACAGCAGCCAAATGCTTTACATTTCTGAATGTGGAGGAAAAAAAGCGGATGGCCTGGAGAAAAATCCACGCGACCACGGGGAGAGAGCCCATGCAAATTCCACATATGCAAGCATGGTCTGGGTCGAGAATCGAACCCACGAACTTCTGCATTCCAGGCGTGGTAGTTAACATCTCGCCACCGTGGCACCCTAAGCAAGGATTTATCCTGGATAGCGATGGGTCGTTGCAGACCGTGTGAGCAGCAGAGGGCAGTGCAGCAAGACCCGTGATTATTCACAACTCCCCAACCTCAACTCGCACTTACCAGCCTGGTGCAGTACATTGCAGTATAATCAAACAACCCCCAACGAACCGCACGGTTTGGAAAGGCCCTCATCCAGCAGTGAATTGACACGAGGGTTATACATGGATATATAGAGATCAGTATATATATTACACACACACTGCCCTGTGTTCACATATATGTAACTGTATGGAGCAGATGGAGGTCTATGCCAGGTCAACACTGAGAAAAGGCCTCTATACATATTACATTAGCCCCATGTATTACATTACTTTACTGGGACATTTTTCACATTGAGGGCTATTTGACTAGAGTATACAGTAATTTAATATTTATGGACACCAATACCACCCTGTTAACGGTGGTTGTACTGCGGGTGTTACTATCCTCCCCCCCGTCATAGTAATGTAGAATTTCCTACACTGCCACAGCATCAATAATGTAGATGAGCAACCACTCCATGCTAGTTTGAGCAAAGTTTATATCCCGTGTACTCGTGGCATACTCGTGTAGCCAATATGATGTACAAATACGTTGCTGTTAAATATGTAGTCTTGCAAAACATAGTATACATCCATGTCAAGCCACCGCTGTATGAAGTCATGTCCATGCCATGTTGCTCATGTAGGTTATTTGACCCATACCTCACCAGGTGGTGGGATGCGAGACTGGTTCACACCGTCGCTGGCTGTATCTAACGGCAGTGAGCCAGTTGATTCGAGATGTGATGTTAGCTAAGTGGTTTGGACTTGTGCAAAAAGGTAGATTAAAAAAACACAAATGACCGGACGTAATTTCAGTCCCACAAAGTTACCAGTGAGATGCACTTTTAATGTTACCTGCGAGATTGACATCAAACATTTCCATTCAATTACTATAATAAAAAAAGGTTTAATCATGACAGCTGTTTCAATTAAAACTGTAAACGAAGTAAATATTCTTAAATAGTGTTTCCGTTTAAACTAAAATTTTATGGAAAAAAATCCATAACAATATATTTTGCATATGCAACACCATAACCTTAACATGCATGATCCTTGCACACCCTGTGCTGAAAAGTCGATGTGTAGTGAATGCGTTGTAACTGAAATGAAATATATTTCTAGTGTCACTGGAAAAACTAATTTTACGTCACCAGTGCAGTTGGACAAATCAAAAACACATTATGCCGAGTAGAATTTTGAAATGTGAATTTCCTAGCAATAAAATACGTAATCCAGGTCCAAACAAAAAACTGTATGTAAAGTATAGTAAATTAAATATTTTCTTTGGGTCTTTCGGTAAAGTCACGTAGATAGGCTCAAAGAAAAGACCCAAAGAATATGAATTCATGCAGTCACAAAAGCTTTAAGTCAAGATTGAAATTAAATATGGCATAATTAGAATCAGAATCTTTACTTTAAATACAAAGTTTAACTTAGTGAGTGTTAAATATGCCTGTCCTATTTTAAACGCACAAAATAAATTATAATTTTGTTTGGATGTAAAATACAGCAATCAAATTAAACAATGCAATTGGAAATAATGTCGTGCACAATGAGACCATCATCAGACGTCGTATGTAAGCTGTACAGTAAAATGAAATACATTCCTACAACAATAGCAATCTATAACAGCGGTGGACAAGACGTGGATTTCAAAAAGTTTGGTGTGGATCTCAGGCCAAATATGTATAAACATTAACTCAAGCATACAACTATTTCCGTTCCTGCTGATGGCAAATAAAAATCACCGACTAAAAATGCATACCTTAAAACAATAATAACAATTTCGATTTAAAGCTTTCGTGACTGCAGGGATTCATCTTCTTGGTTCTTTCGGTAAAGTCACGTAGAAGGGAAGTAATAAAATAATAAAAAATAAAACATAATAAAATAATTCTCACGACGTTTCGGCCACAACGCAAGCAGCCGTCCTCAGGTGGAGAACAGGTCCGTCAAGTAGACAGAGTCTGAACATTCTCCACCTGAAGACGGCCACCTGAGGACGGCTGCTTGCGTTGTGGCCGAAACGTCGTGAGAATTATTTTATTATGTTTTATTTTTTATTATTTTATTACTTCCCTTCTACGTGACTTTACCGAAAGAACCAAGAAGAATAATAACAACTTACACCAATAGATGGCGCTAGACCTAAATGTCTTATGTAGAGTGTATCCAAAAATAAAGTTGAATAGCTTAATTGTTATTCTTGGTTCGGTAAAGTCACGTAGAAGGGAAACAATAAAATAATAACATATTTTTATTATTTTATATTAACAATAAAATATATTTTTATTATTTAATTGTTTACCTTCTACGTGACTTTACCGAAAGAACCAAGAATATGAATCCCTGCAGTCACGAAAACTTTAAATACAAATTTAGCTTTATTGTTCTTCGAAATACTGACAAATGTAATATGTTATGGACGTATACGTTTTATTTTATTAAAAAACTTTAATTAGTGATAACATATTCTCGAATTATTAATATTAATAAACGTCTACATGTCTACCATACTCTTATATAAGCGCACAACTTTATCTGTGATGAACGCTGCACTTTCTGTCGTGTTCATGCAGGGGGCGCTGCAAACCTACGTGCCCCCTGCATGAACGACGGAGGCGCAGGGACAGACGTTCGATCACGTTGGAATCGATCTGCAGACGGCGGTCTTCTCGCACGGCCAGCTCCTCTATGTCGCCTTAGCTCGATCCCGCAATCCCAAACAGGTGAAAGTCCGCATCGAACCGAGCCCCCAGCAAGGCCATCTACTTAACGACGAGAGAAAATTCACACGAAATGTCGTTTTCAATTAAGTATTCCAGATGTAAAATGATAAAATATTTTAACAAAGAATAAAAAGTATCTAATTCAAAACATTATACAAATCAAAGATTTTCATTTTAAAATTTCAAAACGGAGCATCGGGTATTTGCGTGAATGTGTCATTCGTGTGCAATTTTTGTGTGCCTTTCCTGGTGTTCAACTCTGAGAAAACATTTTCCAACACAGCCATAGGAATGAGTGATACAGCATCAACAATACGATGTTTAAGTTCTTGAAGGTCCCTTCATTTGTAGTGTAGACTTAACTTTTTTTAAACCCCCAGAGATAAAAATGTAATGGCGTTAAGTCGGGTGAACGAGCGGACTTGTCATTATATCAGAAAAGAAAATACCAATCAATATTCACAAAAAACTAAAACTTCTATGTTTAATGAACATATTCATATCAAATTTATGGCAATATCTCGAATAACAATAAAACGATTAAACGTTATTTTTGCTATAATAATTTTCGGACACCCTGTATATAACGTAGAGGGTTAAATCCTGGTAATTGTTGGTCATAGCTTACTGGTGTACGTAGAGCCCGTAGAGATTCGCTGCAATGGGTCGCAGTGCTTGGTGTAGC